AAAACTTGCCAAGCACATGTGCTGGACCCCAAATGGAAAGGCTGTTTCAATATCTTTGCAGCCATGAAAATCTTTATAGACTGACATAAAAGCTAAATGAAAATTCAGAGAGCTATTAAACCTCTCCATGGCAGTGACAAGACAATCTGTTCTGGAGCAGTAGATGCTGTCTGATACTTTAGATACTCTAGGGAGTTCATTCCCATGGGTGGTGTCAACCACAGGAGCAAGGTATAAATTTGATTGAAGAAAGCTACAGACCAAGGAAACCTTAAGTACATACTGTGTTTACTTTACCCCGCACAGTTTTATGTCATTCATATTGCCCTATAGTGAAACTCTTACAGAGGTGAGGATAACCTTAAACTCTGAGCATCCTGCTTCCACAACCCTAGTGCTGGGATTATAGCACCACCCATCTGACTTCAGAAAGCACTTTGAAGAAATGATTTGATACATCCACTTGTACATCCACTGGCTAAATATTTACCAAATTTCTACTACATGGTAGACACTGGGGTAGATGCCTGGGAAATGATTAGGAACAGGGCCATGTTGTTTGAGTGTCCCTTCCAAAAGAACCCAGTTAGCAAGTACAGTCAAGCATCTAGGAGGATAAATTCCGAGAAATGTTTACTGGATTCTGTCATTTCTGAAGAAATATTACAGAAGCAAAAACAGGGAGGAAATCACTAGGTGACAGTCTTATAATACCACTGTTACTGTATATGTGTTCCCTTGTTGACTAAAACATTGTTATGCAGCATGCAACCATAGTTACAATGGCGGTGAGATGCCTGGGCTGTAGTTTAGTTGGCAGACTGCTTGTCTAGCATGCATGAGACCCTGGAGTCAAAGGGTGGTACATACCTTTAATTCCAGTACTCAGGTTGGGGAGGCAGGAGGATCAGAAGTTTAAAGTTATCCTCAGCTACATATCAAGTTTGAGGGTAGCTCTGAGCTACATCAGACCTTATCTCAAAAGGGAGGGGGATGACAGGAAGCTGAGTATGGCAATACATGCTTGTGATCTTAGCATTTGGGAGGCTGAGGTAGGAAGATGGTGAATTCTCTACTTAAACTACACAGACCTAGACTGTGAGGTCAGAGCAAAATGTGTCAGGATAAGGTTGAACATTTTAGGATGCTGGGTCCTCATATAAATTAATCTGCAGGTCTAGCAAGAGGTGAACTGAACTGTGCTTGGGGCACCTGCAATGTAAAGAAGAGTGTCAGGAATTGGGATACAGACATCCTACAGGCTAGAACAGGGTGACTATGTGGTCCTTGGGTGAGCATATGGGTAAGAGAAAGTACCACTCAAAAGCAGGGTCCAGGGAGAGGACAGTGTCCCTTGGGTGGGAACAGGGGGCATAAGCCATCCCAATGGACAGTTCAGGAGACAGCTGGCATGCAGGCTTTCACCTGGGAATGAGAGCTAGACAGAGATGAAGCTATCTCTTTGGTGACTGCTGCTAAAAATGGCTTGGGGTCCCTAGAGGTTCTATAACCTGCCTGGCTCATACTTTCTGTATGCCTGTTGGTAGGCACAGAGCAAGAGAATAGACCTTGGCCATATGGCACGTTCCCTCTGGTAGACTCCACAAACAAGGAGCAAGAAGAAACAACAGATACAGCTCTAGGCAGCATGGCGGCTGGTGCCACCTCAGGACCCGACTCAGCTCTTCCTGGGGCTGGCAATCCTGCCCTGCCTGAGCTCCTGGCACTGAGCCACAGGGCATGTAGCTGACATACCTGTCGGTTTCCCTAAGCTTCTTGTTAATATGAGTTCTTGTCTCTCTTAAGTACAACTCAATATGTCCACAAGTCCTTCTGTGTTCTACTGGACTGCAGCCTAAAGCCCACAGACAATGAAGGCTCCTGGACCCCTGCCTGGCTGGGTGGCTGTCAATAAATGAGGCGCTATTGACCAGGCCTTTCCTGGAAGCCCCAGCCACAGGATTACCTCATCTAAGCAATCGCCAGACTGCATGACCCAGGTGGAGCACCCCAGCCCAGCTTCCTAGGAAACTTGTCAGACCTGTCAGTGCACAGCAGGCTGAGGGTAGTGATCTACCTGGAATTTAAGTGTCTGGGTTGAGTTTGATACAGAAAACATTTTCTTTCTTTCTTTTTTTTTTTTTTTTTTTTTTTGAGACAGGCCCTCCAGTAGACCATGCTGGCCTTGAACTTGGGTGTGTAGCCAAGAATGAGCTTGAATTCCTAATCTTCCTTCACCCCGAGTGCTGGGGTTACATGTATTTATCATAGTGTCTGGATTTACGTAGCTACAGATGGAACCTAGGGCTTCATGTATGCTAGACAGACACTCTATCAACCTTCTTAATGCTGCGATCCTTTAATACACTTCCTCATGTTGTGGTGACCCCCAAACACAACATTATTTTCATTGCTATTCCACAACTGTAATTTTGTTACTGTTATGAATCATAATGTAAATATCTGATATACAGGAGATTTGATATGCTACCCACAAAGGGGCCATGGCCCACAGGTTGAAAACTACTGATAGTTCAAGCTTGGTGTTGTAACACACACCTCTATCTCTAGTAATTGTGAGACTGAGACAGGAGGATTGTGGTGAGCCAGAGATTAACCTGGACTATGTAGTGAAACTGAAGCTACCCTTAAATATAAGGTACAACCCTGCCTCAAAACCCAAACATGGGCCGTTGAAATGACTCAGAGAATAAAGGTGCTTGTGGGCCCAAGTTTGATCACCAGGACACACATGATAGAAGGGGAGAACAGACTCTGACAAGTTGTTCTCTGATGGACACACATGCTCTGTGGCACACATGTATGTGCATATGTACACAAGCAAATAAACATAAAAATAAAATTCTTCGGTCCAATGTGATAATTATTAAAACTATAAAAATATAAGATCTTTATATATAAAATATAACTTTAATGAGAAAACAATGTATTTGTGTTCTATGGGAAACGAAGCTAGAAAATAATTTCAGATAAAGAATCCAATAACCTGTTAAGTGTTTACTTATCTGGGAAACTTCACTAGGGGAAAATACTGGTACAAACGTGACTTTGCACAGAATATGTTTTAGCTTGAAAACAGCAGCTGAGGTCAAAATGAAAGTAGGTCTATTGTGAACACAGAATAGTAATTCCCCAGCTTGACAGGCTCGGCTCCCATCTGGAACACCCTTCCCTGTGGAATCCTGCAGTGATGGCAGGAGCAGAGAGCAGGAGGAACCAAGAGAACACTTGGAGAATGAATGGTATGGAAATGACTGTACTTTTCCTATAAATTCTGCATCCTGGGAGTCAGTGTAGACATCACATGGTTTGAGAAAACATTCTCAGATGCCTTACATATAAGAGAACCACGCTGATTAACATGTACAAGTCCCGGGGGATTCAACCACCAACAATGAAAAGTAAAATAAGAGAAAAAAACCCAAAATGTAAGAGGTGTTCATCAAACTGCTGGCACCTGAGGAACCGTGCAACTTAGAGCAACCATGGGAAGGAGAATTGCTCCTGTGGGCAATTCTTGATTAGTGATGGATGTGGGAGGGCCCAGTCCACTGTGAGCAGTGTCACCTCTGAGCAGGAAGGCAGGCTGAGCAAGCCATGGAGAGTAAGCCAGTAAGCAGTTTTTCTCCATGGTCTTTGCTTTAGTTCTTGTTTCTAGATTCCTGTTTTAACTCCTCTCAAAGATGTATGTGATCAGAACATATAAGTTAAATAAATGCTTTCCTATCCCACATTGATTTGGTTGCTGTTTTATTACAGCAACAGATAAGCAAACTAGGGCATGCAGTGTACCCTAAGCACCAAATAATCCATTTATAATACAGAAGCTTCCTTGTGGGTTTTGGGCACAGTCTTCAGAAAACCCACTCTCACATACAAACTCTTACAGAAAATCCCAAGGTCAGAATTTAGAGCTCAGAGCATGACAAAAAACTAAGGCAGTAAAAACGTGGGACATGGGAAAGTATTCTCCACTCCATCATTCCCACACCCTATCCATTTTACAAAAGAGAAAACTGAGATCCAAAGGGAAAAGCAATACAGAGAATTCCTTGTTTGGTTTAGCTCCCAGAGAGAAGAGCGAACTCTGGTGGCATTGACTGGGTGGCTGTCAGTGACCACAGTGCTATGGACCAGGCTCTTCTTAGAAGGAAGGCAACACTCGTACAGGCACAAAAGAGAAGCTCTGCTTTGTTTGCCAAGGCATGCCTCATATGGGTGATATCTGCACAATTATCAAACAGGGCAAACATGTAACTGCAGTGTGTGTGTGTGTGTGTGGGGGGGTTCTTTGGTTTCCTTGTCAGCAGAGGAAGATAGCTAGGTGACTTTTCCTCCGGGGCAGAGCTAGGACCCATGTGATTATGTCCTTCTGTCCTGACAGATTCTCAATCCCATGGAAGCTGAGGAATGAGGGACCCACCACACTGCCCTAAAGGACTTGGATGGCACCTCCTTGAGGTATCTCTGACAAGGAGCACTTCAACTTGAATGCATGCCTTTAAAAGAAGATGCAACTCAAATACTTAGTCACAGTGAATGGGGGCTGTCAGCTTTAACCCTTCAGTGAAAAGATACTTTCCCAGAAGTCACTGATCCTCTGTGACTCTGGAGGGGAGTGGAGCAATCAGGTGCACTGTAAGCATCACTCTAAAGGTCCTGCAGGGGGCAGCTGCCCTTGGGAGACCACTGCAGAGCACTTAACATCATTCTGTACATTCATGTGACACAAACATCCTGTGGCATCGCCACAGGCATGGGCTTCTGTGCTTACAGAGGAATCAGCATGTGAGCCTGGGATTATACACATATTGCATCTTCCTGCTTGCCCTAAGTCTGGGTTCTAAAGACCTCACAATCTTCAAACCCCTTGGTTTCCCAGGGAAGCTGCCTGAATGATCCATTCACCTTAGGAAAACTAAAAACAGTTACAAACCGTCACAACTAAGCAAACACTGGCTAGCAGTGGCCTGACTTACCTGGAACATCAATTAATCTCTTGTATACAGTCAAGAAGGCCGCCTCTGCTTCTTTGCTTCTTTTACTCAGTGCATCAATCTGAAAGGAAAGGAGACAAGAGATAATTCAAAATGTCTTACTATATAGCCTGAGGTAGCCTAGAACTTCCTAATCCTCCTACCTCACATATTTGCTTATGTTCTAGTTGTGGAATAAAAGTTATGATCCATGGATAAGGCTATAGCAAGTCATGGACATGGGAGCAGTCAGCAAGGGTCTTAGGGAGAAAGCACAAATATACACACATGGAACTCATTGACAATGACACTGGATGGGCAAGTGGGGTCAGAATCTAAGAGGCCATCCCTATACATGGAGGAGGATAACTTTTATCTGATATATATATCACAGTAGAAGATACTCAGGAAGAGGCTGGGATTGGAAGACCATGTAAATCTTTCTGTCCTCATTCTAGAGGACAATGTGGAAGCTTTGAGAAATGACCAATGGGGAAAACTGGAGCATGCTGAGTTAGTATGAGGCACAGAAAAAAAAGTAAGTTAAGGACACTGCTGATGTTTTCCAGTAGGCACTGGGGAGGTTCTGTGTCTGTGCTGTCTTATGAACTGACCCAGCTGAGCTCAGTTTCCTCAGCCCGTGTCTACATATCACGGAAGGTGAAGTAGGAAACCCCAAGTAGACTGGGGTTCCAAGGAGCTTCAGACTGTCTTGTTATGCTATTTACCTCCCGCCATACAGCTGCCAACCCAACAGACAGCTCTTGCTCCTGAGGCAGCAAGACTTCACATGCACTAAATTCGTACCAGCTCAGGAAGAGGACCTGGAATTACAGTTTCCTGCTGGCCTTACCTAGGATCACTCTCTCTCCTGTGTTATTAAAGAGGCAAAAGATGGGTCTTAATTACAGAGCCTCTCACCTGGGCCAGGCAACAGTCTGTTAAGGGCTGAGAATAACCTGAGAGAGGAAGGCGAATCATTGAAGAGTGGGGGGACACAGGCTCCTTGGTCTCAGGAGTTCTAACACAGGGCAGGCAAGGGACACGGCAAACAACAGCAGCTTCTAACAAGTGTTCCAAAGTCAACATCTGAAGTCACTTGTTTAAAATTCAGACTCTATTCTCCCTTCATTAAAAAAAAAATTGTAATTTGATGGGGGGGGGGAATGTTGTCCCAAAATAATCTACAAGGCAAATACCTCTTTCCCCATCTCTCCAGGATCTCCTGTAGTCCATGCTGACCTTGAACTTACTATGTAGCTAGAAATAAAATTGAACTCTGGATACCCCAGCTTCTACCTCCAAGAGCTGAGAAAGGTATCCAAAATCATGTTTGGCTTGCCTCTAGGATGGACTACTTCTTATGCATCTAGCTGCCTTTGTGCCTTGATCCCCGCACTGGCTCCAGAAACCATCACAGCACAGGCCAGGGAGGTACCTGCATTTCCCAAGTACTCTTACTATGGGTAACTAAAATGGCTTCCCTTCCAGATCTCTGTGGAAGCTGTTTACATGTCTAAGAGGGGTGTGCTGAATTGTATGTCTGGAACCACCTATGAGTCCTAACCCCTGCCAGGCAGTAGTGGTGCCTGCCTTTAATCCCAGCTTTTAGGAGGCAGAGGCAGGTGGATCTCTGTGAGTCTCAGGTCAGCCTGGTCTATATAGTGAGTTCCAGGACAGCCAGGGCTGTTAAACAGAGAAACCCTGTCTTGAAAAACAACTCCTCCCCAAAAGATACCAAAAAGTCAACAAACAGAAACAAAACAAAACAAAAAATGACCCCTAGGTCCCTCACAGCCATGTATATGGCCTTACTACAGGTTCTGAGGTGATAACTTTAACCTAACAGGACATTATAGAAAGGGGTGATTTGAGGGTTGGGGAGACACACACACACATTCACAGTAAAATGGAGGGGGACACAGACATGCCATCACCAATGAGATGACACAGAATCACCACCCGCTTTAGTATAAAAACTAAGCGAACTTCCTGTCCCATGTGTTTGCAGCCTGGTTTTGGTCATGATCCACACGTTTCATAAAAAGAAATTGCCTTGCCAGGTTACTTACATCTTGTTCATGTGTTTGTGCAACACCAGAATGTTTTTTTCTAGCAGACATACGCAGAGAGACTACCACTGACAGAGGAAAACGGGCTGGGCTTCTGCTTCTACATACCAAGGATTATCATTTGCCACTGCCTTGTTCTCAAAAGGAATCAACCCTGTTCAGACTTTCACCTTGTCCTTTAGTCTCAGGACCAGAAGGCAATCATTTCTGTGTTTAAGCCACTCTGACAGCACCAGGAATCTAATTCCTAGTCTGTGTGGTTCTAAGCGCTCCTTTCTGTGACTTTTCCACAAAGGCAGCAAGTTCAAACCCAGTCCCAAGATGACAAGAGTAAGCAGTGGGTTTAAGTAATCCATTAAGTAAGTAGATACTAAGTTTTTTTTTCTTCTTTCTTTCCTTCCAAGACAAGATCTCACATAGTTCAGGCTACCCTTGAATTCACTATTTAGCTGGGGATTACTTTGAACTCTTGATCCTTTTGCCTCCACAGATATGTGTTTCCTTGTCCAGTTTATTCAGTGCTGGGGGTCGAACCCAGGATTTCATGTATGCTTGGCCTACCAGTCAAGCCACATTCTCAGCCCATGAGGTTTAAGAGAGCCCAAGTTTCTAGCTGAGACTGCCAGTTCCCTGGGTAAGTCTTCTCTAATGGTCTGGAATAATGACATTTTGAGAATTCCGCCAGCCTCCTTATGATCCCCTTTCTTCTGCCTTCTCCCTATGGTTGCTGTCCTGAAATATGCGTTAGTCCTTAGCTCATCTTTCCTAGGTGGCTGTTCTTATTTACTGCTCACAGCCAATGCTGCCGGTGGCAGCACTTTCTGTTTCCAGGTTTCCACCTGAGCCTTCTCAGGCATATCCAGGCAGAGCAGACTATGCCCAAGTCCACTTCTTCTAGATTCAGTCCAGACTTCCTCTGGTTGGCAGAGTTCCAGGGAAGAGCAGGGTTGGGAGAAAGTGCTAGAACTTTGGGGCTGACTGTCTGATCAGAACTGCCAGGGGCTACAGGTGCCAGGGCTGAGCTGGCAAGTGCTCTAACACAGTCAACCAACCTAACACAGAGAAGTAACAAGTGATATTGACTTTGTTCCCTGTAAGAGCAAGGCTGCAGGTGTCTATGAAGGGAATGGTCCATTTGTCTGGACTAAATTCAAAGAGGAAGGCAGAAAGAAACTTACACCCATCCCATTATCTGCCTGTCACTATGTGCAACAGGCAGTGGCACACAGGCAGGGCAGCTCTTTGGGTGAGGTCTAAAAAAAAAAGGGTGTGGAATCAGGTTCCCAGGTTATACCTTATGGCTCCTTTGTGTACATATAGGCCTGAGGTGGCAAATCTATCTACTCTTCCCACCCCACAATACCAACATGAATAAGAGGAAAAGACAGAGGCATCACTGTGATGACCAGACTAGGTTGGATCATGAGACCACACAAGTCCTGGCCACCTGCTTTAAAAAAAAAAAAAAAAAAGCTTCCTGTTCAGTCTGGGGCTCACCTCCTGCCACGCCTCCCCTTCCAGCCACACCTAGTCACTCCCTGTTCCTGGGAGTTTCATTCAGCCTAGAAGGCGCCCCATCAGAATTTTCTACTGATCCCTGGAACTGGGCTCACATCTACTTATAAATTTAGGCCACTCCCACTAGCATAGGAGACCAGACTATCCACAGAGCCAGGGCTACAGACCAGACTCAACTCCCACCTCATCCCCTGCTCCCGCTCAAGGAGTTTCACAAAAGGAAAATCCTTGCTACAGCTCCTATATTCTTTCAGAGAATGGAAACCCATACTCAGTGAGCAACTATTTCACTTGCAGGAAAGAATTGATGGTTTGGGAATTTGTCTTCAAGTCATTCCGAAGCTGGTTAATATGAAAAGGGCTGTCTGAGCATAAGCACCCGTTTTGGGGGACATGGTGTAATTGATAGCCTTTGGCGGTCCACAGACACTGAAAACCAATCTTCCCCCACTCCTCTAGGCATCGCTCTACAAATGAAACATACACCCCACCTCCAGCAACATGACCAGGGTCTTCTATCAGACATCTCTTCCCTTTGACTTCTTATTTTGAGTCAGGGCTGAATATAGCCCAGAATGGTCTTGAATTTGACATGCTGACAAATATACTGGACTTTTTGTCCCCCCCCCCTTTTTGAGACAGTTTCTCTGTGTAGCCCTGGCTGTCCTAGAACTCGATTTGTCGACCAAGCCATCCTCAAACTCACAGAGATCCACCTGCCTCTGTAACCTGAGTGCTGAGATTAAATATGTGCACCACCACTATCAGCTGACAATGGATTTTTGATCCTTCTGCCTTCATTACAGGACTGCTGAGATCAGAGTGTGCACCTCTACACAGTTTATACAGTGACGGTGATAGAACCCAGGGCTTTGTGTTTGCTAGGCAAGTATTCTACCCACTAAGCTTCAGACCTATTGCTTTGCTGTACTTGACAGTACAGTTCTGAGTCTGTATTGAACAATGTGCTATGTTAGCTCGAAAGAAAAGTAATATAATGCTTGCAGAGTAATCAGGTTGTTAATTCCTGTGTGATGCTGGCTTAACTTAGGGAGCTGAGATTTTTTTTTTTATTGACAGTACAGCTCAAGTCTCAAGAATTACATGTATGGATAAAAAAGTCAATATGTATATGAAAGACCTATAATAACAGTGTTTCGTATCAGTAGCAGAAACAAGTTTTGCCGTGGTCCTGGGCATGGTGGCACAACCCCTGCTGTCCTAGTACCTGTAAGGTAGAGAGAGAGCAGAAGAAACAGGAATTCAAGACCATCCTAGTCTACATGTTGAACTGAAAATCAGTATGAACTACAAGAGAAAAAAAAACTCTCTTCAAACAAAATAAAAAATGAAAACAAGACAAAACAAAAAAAAACCACCTTTGTATTTTGAATATTGTGGAGGAGTCAGCTCTCTCCCTCCACCATGGGGGTTCTGGGAATAAAGGCTCAGGCCATTAGGCTTGCTAGCAAGTGCCACTACTGCTGAGCCA